CAAATCGAAGAAGGGATGAAGAAGCCATTGGTCCTCCTCACCATTGCCGCTTCATGTCGTTCATTCTCCAATCTCCTGCTGCCGAGTTCCCCGATCCGTCGCCTGACCTCCCTACCACGAGACCTAGATCTCCAACGAAATCCCTCCACCAAACCCAAACCTTTCTTTTCTCTTCTGTCTTCCGGTCACCCCTGCCTCCTCCTTCCATATTCCCTCTTTCTCCTCGCCAACTGCAGATGTCCAATCGGAAATCCCTACATCTCGTTAGAGGTAAAACCCTTGATGCAAATAGCCTCCTTCCTTTAGTTTTTCATGATTTGATTTCTGATTTCATTGGAAGGTTGTGGGAAAAGGGAAAAATGATTCGACTTTCGTTGTGTTCTGGTCTAGATTCTTTCTGGACTTTTACTAATACTGTAGGTTTTGTTTTCAAACTTGTGTAGCTCTACGGATTGGAGATATGCAGCAGGGCAGTATGTGAAGAAGCAAGCAGTTCGTATATATCGTCTTTAGCCGTTCGTATATATTGTTTTTCCACTTGCATGTTTTTTCAGCTCTTATAATATGTTGATATGCTTACTAATTATCTGTTATTTTCTTCGGAAAAAAATCCCAAAATACCCTAATTATTAAAAAAAATTCCCAAAATACAGTACTTATAAACTTATTTCCCAAAATACAGCAGTTTCAACATCACTGTTGTAGACCAAGACAGTGATGACAATCACCGTTTTAGACCAAAACGGTGATAGCATCATCGCTTTTGTGGAGAATAACAGTGATGCAGCTCGCTTTGGTTAACAACGGGGATTAAATGACCGTTGATGAGGGACGCGATGAAGAGATCTTCACCGTTAATATAAAAAGCGGTGGAGTGGCGCGGATCGGTGACGTGGACGCGCGCGGGCACTTCACCGCTGAGGACAAAAGCGGTGATAGCCCCGCTTTCCACGTCACCGATCCGCCCCACCAGCGCCTTCACCGCTGCCGTTCGATGCAGTGAGGCGTGGATTGTGGTTTTTCTCCACGATCCGACGCCTCACACCGCGCCACGTCAGCGATCCCAGCCTTCACTGCCTTCATTCAACGCGGTGACTTCACTGCCTTCATTCAACGCGGTGATTGGTTCATGGATCCATTTCCAGCGCCCATTTCCCCTATAAATACCCCCCCCCCCTCATTCCAAACCATACCAAAATTTTATACTTCTTTCTCCCTCCTTTACTTTACTCTAGTTTCGTTCTAAGTATGCTCTGTGGTTGCGGCTAAGTCCGATCTTCCGCATCAGAAAGAATTACTAGAGTTTTTGGTTTGTCGATACTCTCGCTAGCTTTCGGCAAAAAATGGACGAAGAGGCTTTGAGAGTACGTAAATTTTTTTTTTTTACATGGGTGCTAAAATTTAAATTGATTTGATTTCATATTTTTTTATAGATGGGTGCTGAGATATACGACCCTCGATTGTATATCGATCCTAGCCCAAGGGATCGAAGGTATTTAACCGGGCAAGATCAACATCGCTCCTATTCAATTTGGAAAAATAATCCGGTAGACACACTAAAATTATTTCAATAGTTTTAAAGTTTTTATTTTGCTTTCTATTGACTGACAATATTGTGTTTTTTGTTTTGTAGGAATCACTTATTCCCATCAGTCATCGAGGGACATGTCGATTGCCCCGTTGGCATGATCGACTGCAGCCCTATCTAGAGAGGACGGGATTGCACATGCTGAGGCACTTTATGAGGCTTGATATTCACAACGATCTGCTGACGGCAATGGCAGAGCGATGGCGCCCCGAGCTGCATACCTTCCACTTTCCCGAGGGTGAAATGACGATCACCCTCAAATGTCATGGAGTTCTTGCCACGAGAATCTCGACTCAATTTTTAGCATAGTGGATTCGCCATTTTCATAGTCGATCCCAATGTTCGAGTTTGTCACCCGACCATTCCACCGAATAATAAGCCGAAACTTCTTAAATTTACACATGTCTGCAATTTATAATAATTAAGTATAGTATATAATTAGTACATTAGAGATACAAAAACAATATCATCCAAACCCATAAACAAACGCATGTAATTGATCTATCACGAGAAAACTAAGCAAATTCATTTAAATTCATAACTAACTAACTAACATCTATCATATCATAATTAATCTAAATATATCATAACATATTTTTCAATAACCGCAATTCACTAAATACAGACATATAATTACTAACACATCAACATGTAAACAATACATAATTATAACATACCGAAGCCCGATCTATCATGAGAAAACTAAACAAATTCATCTAAATTCATAACTAATTAACTAACATCTATCATATCATAATTAATCTAAATATATCATAATATATTTTCCAATAACCGCAATTCACTAAATACAGACATATAATTACTAACACATCAACATGTAAACAATACATAATTATAACATACCGACTCCCGATCTATCATGAGAAAACTAAACAAATTCATCTAAATTCAGTACTAACTAACTAATATCTATCATATCATAATTAATCTAAATATATCATAACATATTTTCCAATAACCGCAATTCACTAAATACAGACATATAAATTACTAACACATCAACATGTAAACATTACATAATTATAACATACCGAATCCCGACGAGTTCCTTGAGCAATAAACCAACTCCAAACCAGCTGAGAAAACGACTAATAAAACACTAATTTTTGTACTAATTTTCTGTAAGGTAGCAAGAGGGGAAGTGGAGGTCAGTATTTATAGAAAAATTATTTAGCAACCACCGCTGAGGACAATGGCGGTGAACACATACCTGCTTTTGTCCAAAGCGGTGATAGCTAGGTCGCTGTGACCTAATTCCCACCTACCAGGGCTCTAAAACGTGGTCAATTATCACCGTTTTGGTCCATAGCGATGATGTGATCGCTTTCGTCAACAGCGATTATAAGGTCGATTATCACCGTTTTGCACAAACGCGGGGAACCCATCACCGTTTTGGTTGAAAGCGATGATAGCATCACCGTTTTTGTCCAAAACGGTGATTGCCATCACTGTCTTGGTCTACAACAATGATGTTGAAACTGCTGTATTTTGGGAAATAAGTTTATAAGTACTGTATTTTGGGAATTTTTTTTTAATAATTAGAGTATTTTGGGATTTTTTCCATTTTCTTCTAGCTGCTACAGTGATTGATGGTGGGCACAATGCTGATTGCTCAAGGAAAATGGGGTGGTGTTCTTGCTCCCTTTGATATGCTTACTTACTAGACGTTTTGGGATTTCTAGGATTTGCTTTATAGGATCTACAAATACTATTTGCAATTGGAGGCGAGGCTGCTGATGATGTTTAGATGTTTGCTAAAGGTATTGTCGGAAAGGATGAATTCCATTGCTGTTGAATGATTTTGTGAGTGTAGAGGGAAAGGAATGGAAGGAGAGTAATAGATTGTTAATGAAGATTTTTATGGTATTTGCTTTTTTATGTTACCAAATACCTTATGGAAATAACTAATTAATTTTTTTCATCCAAACAAAATAATTTAACTCTCATTTCCTCCAAATAACATACAAATACCACATGTATAAAAAGTGAGTTATTTGACCTTACAAATTCCAAAATGAAAATTAACCCATCCAAACGACCCCTATATATTATATAATATTGTAATTATTCGGGTCAATCAGCGGGTTCGGATTAGTTGGGTTGAGTCAATCGGGTTGCGAGTTAGTTGCGTTCGGGTTCAATCGGGTTGCGGATCTGTTGGGTTCAGGTTTAATCGGGTTGCTGGTCAATTGGGTTACGAGTCAATCAGGTTACAGGTCGGGCGGGTTACGGTTCATTGACTTTTAGTCAACTCGGGTTGCGGGCGGGTTACGGATCGGGTTAAACGGGCGGGTTACTCAGATCGGGTTCTATTTTGACACATATAATCATGCCTGGGGTAACTTCATCGATAATTGGCAGCATGGAGATCTCACCAATTCGCAAAAGCACAGCAAAAGAGAAAAGGAGAGAGACTAGAGAGTGACAAGTAAAGAGAGTGTTACTACGGGGACGTTTGGAAGTTGCATATGTTTATCGTTGTATTGTTATGAATCATTATGATATAAATGCATGCATTGATACAATAGATGTATTTTGACATTACATTATTTGGTTGTGGAGATTATAGTTTACGAATTTATTGTCATAAAATTACTTTATAAAGAAATGTCATATTTGCCCTCCATTAATATAAAACAAAATGAACTATGGTTATAAATGGTAAAAAGAAAAGGGGGCTCAATTATTAAACCAACAATCACAACTTTTAGTTGAGATTGTACAATCCCTCTTTTTTTTTTTAATTGTAAGTGAGACCCACACAAAAAAATACGTGCATTGTTTTGCAACTTGACACTTCCAAATATTGTATTAACAAATACAACACTTACCATCACAATTCAGAACTTCCAAACCACACGTACATTTGCAAATCTGTTGTTGAGTGAAAGGTTTGGGCTACTTCAAATTGACAAACCATCTGTTGCATGATTAACTTACCCTCTCTCAAGGTTCCCATAAAAAAAAAAGAAAAAAAATGATTAACTTACCCTCTTTCTACCGATCATAAATTTAAAAAAAAAAAACTTAGGGCAAAAAATGGAAAAACAAATATTGTAGGTCAAAAGTCAAAACCACTTGCCTCAAGTTCTCAACTAGTGAACAACCCACCAACTACTAAAAAACAAATTCACAATAAATTATAATACTAAAAAAAACAAACAAAATTGAAACTACCACACTTGCCCTTAGAGGAACCCAAAATACCACCTCTTTTGCTCCCTTGTCGCTCGTCGTCGCTCTCTTCCCACCCCCATCACGTCGACCAGGAGCAGCCATCGGCGGCCTGTATCCCAGCCTCGTCACCAGGCCACAGCCAAGGATCGAGGATCGCCATAAATCCGGGTTTCAGGGTTTATGTAAACCAGATAAACCTCCAGCCAAGGTAGAAATGAGGCCTGCTTCTTCTTCAGATAGAATCAATATTGCTGCCAGTGCACGAAGACTGGATGTCGATAATCGGATTTCCCTCAGATTCTATTACCGAATCGCTGACAATATTCTTCGCCAGGTTCGTATATCTCTTCTTCTGACCCAGTCGTCTCTGATGTGGAGTTCGTGTTTTCTCGTTGCAATTTGGGTTTTCCGATTAGCGGAATTGTTTTTTGAATGAAATGGAGGTCTAGACCACAATTGATTACCGTGTTTGATCCCTTAGCTCCAGTTCATCAATCTCGTTTGCTGCTTCCGGTAAAGTACTAGAATGGATGTAGAGAATATCCTCGGCTGCCAAGGATTAGTTGATTCTGGATGAATTTACTTGTTTCAGCTTAGCTCTTTGTAGTATGAAATTTCAGCAGCAGAACTAGCAGTAGTCTCTGGTTTGAGGAAGGCTTTCAGTAACTAGTAGTAGTTCCCTATTAATTACAAGGTATTGTTAGCTTATCTTCAATGTCAGTGATTCTGTTCCAGTCCCACGGGTGTTTGCATAGACTAGCAGCTTAATCTGTTGTCTCTAGGTGTGTTTATCACTCTTACACTAATGCATGTGAGACCTTAGAGTTGACAGAAGGTTTCTTTTGGAATCTACTAGGGAAAACTTATGTAACGACCTCGTCATTTCGTCCTTTGTTGTTTGTCAATAGAACTTAAACACAGACCACCTAGGACCATCACTTTGGCCATCCTTAAGTGAAGCAATGAAGAGTTGCCGCCGTGAAGTTTGTATCTTCAGCGACTTAGTTATGGAAAATCAGGCCTGACAAATGCTCTTAGTGAAATTAAGGGGTTTCTTAAGTTTTAACCAGATGACAAGTATTGATATCTGCCGAGCATCTTTGGAAACCTGGACATTTACTTTCTCTTGTGCTCCTAACTATCATATTTTTTAAGCTTCGAATACACCTTGATTACTTATTTTTATCTGAAAGAATTCAAAAGGTTACTGCACAGACTTATGTTTTGATCTCGGTTTTCTGCGAGATCTTATCTTTTCATCCTGATTTCCTAAGTTTTGTGTTGATGGTTCTGATGTGAGACTTTCTGTGATTTGATGATGTTTATGCTTACGAGTTACGAGTAATTTCTAAACCATGGGATTACTGGAAAAGTTTGCGTTTGGCATTGGATATGACTGTTTCTTGTTTTCTTGTGTTGTATCTTGAACTAATTTCTCTTTTAAATTCATTCCTGCACCATTGAAAACTTCCTTATGCTGATTTTGACTTACGATTATTCAATGACATTTTAGGCTGACATATTTCGACTCGAGAAGAATGTAATAGATCTTTACATCATGCTTTTAAGGTTCTCAAGGTAAGAACAAAGCTTCTGACGTTAATCACCTCCGTGTCATATATGACTCAATATGTGTTTGCTCATTAATAGGGCAAAGCAGGTTCTGCCGAATTGGAATATGTTTCCTGCTTTTCTTCATTTTCTATTCCCCTGTAGAATAATAATGTGTTAGTTTAGGTTATTGTTAACGTCTTGATCATGCTTGTTCTTAGTAGAAAGCTCTTTGTTTTAGGAATTCTTCTTGTTTAGGTTTCTACATGTAGTTTAATTGGTAAAATATAAGTTCTTCTCCAGCTTGGTTTCAGAGACGATACCACGTCATCGAGAGTATGGTTCATCTCCTCAGACTAAAAAAGTCTACTTGAAAAAGGTAATACCTTACGCAGACACAGACATGTATGTATCTTCGTGAATGGTGAGTTGTCAAGCTTCAAAACTTATGGTATGCATGCTACTATTGAAGAAATTATTGGCTGCTGTTGAAGAGCTTGAAAAGTTGAAGCCAGCAGTGCAACAGAGGATCAACGAATTTAACCATCGCCACACATATCAATTAAATGGCTGGTCCAATAACCATCAAAGTGATGCATCACAGTGGCCTCCTGTTAAAAATGGAATTATGCCTAGCTATGATTTGACGAAGGCAAGTCTGTTTCTTGGTTTTATTTGCTCATGCTACTTTTAATATCCATTTTTTTTATTGATTGTGAAACTTCTGTTTGGCTTTTGCATCATTGAGGGAGTCTTTATTCTATGTGTTTCGAATATGACAGGCAGTGAGACCGATATTCCAGACATCTGGTTTTTCAGGTCCTAGGACGCAGCAACTTTCCCTTGCCAGGCCAGTAGAAGAACAGTTCCATAGAATGTAAGTGGTTTGATATTTTCGAATCTTCTATTTTTCTTGAATGGTCGTTGCTAATTTTCCACAGTGAAGTTTAGCTAAAATTCTTCCATGCGTAAAACTTAGTTAACTCTCAGTTCAGCTTGTTATATATTTCAGTCAATTGTCTTTTAAGCATTTGATATCTCATACAGAGGTGTATTTTGCATGCTGTCCTCTAAAGAGAACTCTAACAATGAGCTGTTTCAGGCTGCTAACCCACGTGGGACTGGTATAGGAATGGTGTTTGTTATCTTTATTAGGTTATGAAGTTTGGAGACAATAACTGAAAATTGGGCTAGTTAGTGGTAGATGGTGGCCTCTCCAGTCTAGGAGCTAAGACTTCACTAAAATGGATTTGCTTAACTTTATTGAAAAGCTTGTGTTTAACTTCTTCTTGCAGATCCTTAAGCTTCCCACGCCCAAAGGAGGAAACTCTTTCAAGACATTCTATATTTGGTCCAAACGGATTGTATGGAAACTGGCAGCCACCTAAAAGTGATAAAAGAGTATGAAATCGCCAACCTTTTTCTTTCATTCTGTTTCTTTTATGCCTAAAATGGTTGCACTGACTATTTTGTCAGTTTAGGTCCAATATCCGATGAATATAGACCTATCGCCAGTTGAAATTCCACGGTAAGACTCATTTTACATTTTGGTATAAAATAATGGGAGAAATAGCTGATATATTTATTGTTGCTTTTTTCATTGTTGGAAAACTCAAACCTTTGTCATAGGAATGACTGATTCCATAGTCTTTGCAGATTTATTCTTGTTTCCATCATAAAATATCTGGTCTTGGACGCATTCCTCAAGATTTGTGTATGAACAGCTTGCAGCATTCTGTGGAAAGTTCACTTCCTGTGGAGAAAGAGTCTAGCATTTCACAACTTGGTAGCTCAGAACCGTCAATAGGAAATGGATTACCACATAAGTCAGATTCTAGGACTTCAGAGCCTCAAAGTTCAAGTGCAGAATTGACTGTTATCCAGAGTGATGAAAGTCGGAACCGTAAAACAGTGGAACCGGTTGCCATGATTTCGTTTGATACCCAAGACGTCCCCATCCATACAGATATTGTTAGACAACCTTCTCCCCCAGCTGTACTGGCAGAAGTACAAGATTTGATTCCAGTAACGTCTCCACAAGTTATGGAGCCAGATTGTAAAATGGACATTTCCGCACCTGATCTTCGCTCAGAGTCTCCCCTTGAACTGCACATTGTAAGCTTTGCAATAGTCTTTTTATCGTTCTTCTTTGTGGACTTATGGATTTGAGCATTTCTGCCTTTTGACTTTCATCTCCTGGAGAATCCTAGTTCTTATACAATTTCTCATGCTTAATGTTGTGAATGTTTTCCCACTTATCTTGAAATCTAGTTTTGTGTTTAAAAGTTTCACCGCATCGTTGGATGATTTATATTATTGGAAGGTCAGGGGCATTTGTTAGAGAAGATCATAGTCTTTTTGTTCTAACCTGAACTGCAATAATTTCCTTCGCAGTCAACCAACATGATGGAAAGTTTCATGAAGTTGGCTAATATTAATACGGATAAGAATTTGGAAACTTGTGGTATCCTTGCTGGCTCTCTTGTAAGTGTTTTTCATAGTAAATTTGCTTTTTCTGATATTTTGCGTCAGAAATCTTAATATATGATGCCTCATTATCTGTTTTCCAGAAAAACAGGAAGTTTTATATTTCAGCCCTCATCATTCCGAAACAGGAATCGACAACAGACTCTGTAAGGAAATTCTTTTCTGCATGGGATGGGTTATTTGATTTTGGTTATCTTGTTTCTTATAGCTTATACACGTGTCTATTAACAGTGTCAGGCGACAAATGAGGAGGAAATTTTCGAAGTGCAGGATAAAAGGTCCCTTTTTCCCCTTGGGTGGATTCATGTGAGTGGCTTGTCTGAATAATTTATGAGCTGTCTTCGGTTTGTTACATTGTGTAATTTGTCACATTACTTGCCAGCTCAAATATACCTCAGTATATGCTATATGTTGCCTACTTGATGTTTGATTTTTGTTTCATTCGTTTAGTTAGAGATGTAAAATGCTTCATTTCGGGTTGTGAAAGGTATTGTGTTTAATTGGGTGTACTGTTTTGCAAAGAGGTATATTGTTTTGTAAAGTGAAGTACCTAGGACATCTGATTAAAATTTGGAACTTGAGGATAGGCTGTAGTAACAAAACAAAACCAAAGTGCCAGATAAATCTGGTCAAAGATTGATTCTGCTATGTCAAGATAGTGCCTGCTATACGCTAAACTATCAGTGAAGTTTAGAAAGGCAGATTTTGGTTAAATAGGTCCTTCTTTCTGCCCCTCTATGCACCAAAGTGCCAAAGAACGGAATTTATTCTGTAAACTTGTTACATTATTGTAGGATCATTATATGCAAAAATAACTACCTAAGTTTCGAGATGCAAAGCTTTATGGAACTGACTGGAGAAATGCTAACCTGTTTATCATTGAGCTTAATGTATGATTTGGAGTATCTTGTTTCTTGGTTTTTCGGGTTTTTATCATCCAATGTGACTCTAATGACTAATATGCTACTAATCCTAGAAGCTGTAGACTTTAAGAAAGGTTCATAAGCAAATTAGTTCTTCGCGGTGTCCTTATCAAAGTGTATTATTGTACCTACCCTATTACTTGGACACAAATGTTGACTGGTCCTTCTTCCATGTTCAAATTTCAGACACATCCTACACAGTCTTGTTTCATGTCATCCATCGATGTCCACACCCATTACTCTTATCAGGTAAGTATCCCCCTAATACTTCTGAACCCTGAAAGTAAGGATCTTGATATTTCTAACGCATGTTTGTAAACATGTCTATTTCTCTCCAGATCATGTTGCCAGAATCTGTAGCTATTGTCATGGCACCACGAGATGCTTCTAGGCAAGTATATCCTCCCCTGTTTTTTTCCCTTCTGCATAGAATTCCAAACTCACTGTTGGTCTTGCTATTTCGTTATTCAGGAAACATGGCATCTTTCGGCTGACAACTCCGGGAGGCATGTCAGTAATAAGGCAGTGTCAGCAAAGGGGATTTCATGCGCACGATCCACCCGCCGACGGCGGACCAATCTACAAAGCGTGTACAGACGTTTATATGAACCCTACCCTTAAATTTGATGTCATTGATCTACGGTAATCTCTGACATCATAACTGTATAATGATTGGAATTGTTAGACGGCGGACCAAACTACAAAGCGTGTACAGACGTTTATATGAACCCTACCCTTAAATTTGATGTCATTGATCTACGGTAATCTCTGACATCATAGCTGTATGATGATTGGAATTGTTAATTGCTTCCTTTCCTGGGCAACAAAATTCATTTAGTCATTGCATGTGGATGCTAAATCGGGAAATCATCATTGAACCGAGATTAGTGCAGCTGTACCGTAACTGTATATACTGTATAGAATGAACTTAAACAGATAGATCTTGGCCATTGCTCGATTGATGTTGCTTTGTAACGAAATGTGATCTTATTTGCAATGCTTTCTACCTGGTACCAAACAAGGATAGCGGCTGCTGTATTCATCATTTACGTAGGAGCTAGCTAAGGCGACTGAATGATCTATTACAAGACAATTATGGGTTTGGTTCAGTCCATATTTGACAGAATCTACATCTAGTCCAGAATTAGATTGAAATCATCTGTATTTCGGTTTATATCTAGAGCAGGAATTCAGCAGCTTCAGTTGTGGTTTCGATTGGTTCAATTCGGTTCAGTTTCAACCGGATAATCGCCTCCTTGATTGTTTTGGCAACGTTGAGAACAAGCCGTATGGAACCAAACAAGCGCAAGCAGAGAGGTACCCATGTCATGTGGCTTATTAGTGGGAAGTGTGTAACTAATTCCCTTTTCACCATCCAAACTCTTATGGAACAGGAAACTCTACCGACATTTGGGCAATGGAGAGGCGACAAAGTTGCGGTTGAAAACAATCATCTCGTATAATATGTCCCTCTATTATAAAAAAAGTTCCGTGTTTGTTGATATCATTAGATCATTTTCACGTATTTTTAATCACCGAATCAATAAGATAAATATTATTCGTAAAAAATCATACAATTTTCACATATAACAATAGAGAACTTGCAATATCCAACAACATCAACATGCACAGATTGCTCAACATCTATACAGCAGTAGCCAAATCCTTACCGAGCGAGAGGGCAGGCAATGGTGATGATGAGGCATTTGATCAGGTCTCTCTTCCATCCACTGTCCTTGCGACACGCACGCTACTAACTAGTGTGTTGGGTTGTATGGATGGTGAGAAATGAAATGCCATTTGTCGCCAACTACATAAACATGACTTGGCTTTGCTTTGCTTGAGTTCTGCTGGCTTCTGATCTGCTACCCACCAAAGTGTGCGGGCGAATGACAGGTCAGGCTCGGAAGGAAACCACAACAAAACACCATTGTGGGGATGGTGACCGCAGACGAAAGTAACAACACCATATTTATTTCTGCACTATAGCCTCTCCATCTACCACTATTCAAGAGAACGTGTTTTCTGGCGAGGAAAATCTGGTGTTTGAACACAATGAATGTATATTTGACTTCTTGAACAACGATAATTACACGGTTCACTCCTCTCCGAACAATGTTCGAACGAGGGTGTTTGATGGTTTTGATGGTTTTTGGGAATAATCTAAGTTACGTTACTCTACTCCTATGGAGGTTCAGCGAGAGCTCCAAAAACTAAGGGCTATGGCTAATTTGCAGAGAAAGGATAAAAGTTTGACATAGTGTGTCAAATGGTTGGTTGTGGAACCCTTGCTTCGTCTTTGTTTCTCCTATTTATAGCCATCCCTTGTAACCATCGTGCAACCGCCTCTTGGTAACTGCTGCTCCACTGCTTGATGTTTGATGTAGCTTGCTTGACGCCTTGACTGTCTTGCGTGCTTGCCACTTGATAGCTAACCCCTTGTGCCGTGGAGGTGTTCAGGGTCTTGACAAGGTGGTCTACCATGTGATGATATACATGACAGACTACCTTTGTGGTTGGATCTCCATACTTAGCCAATTTTCACCACAATGGTCTAGACTCGGACGATGTCATGCATGACCCCCATTGTTCGGCTAGCTAAGTATGATGGGCTGCCCAGTTGGGTGGTTGATGTTGAAGGGTGTCAACGCTTGACACTTGACCCCCCTTGCGTACCATTATTTAGGCCCAGCCTAAACCAATTTAATTAATATGGTTATATTGGCCTTATAAATCACTACCACTCCTTGAAAATAATCAATGTGGTATTAAGTAATTTTTTAGTGGTAAATAAATGCCCCCAACTACTTAGTGTATAAGGATTGTGGACTAAATAGTTTATATCAACTATACCACTTAAAGCCATCTCGCATTGGCGTCATCTACACTAAGTTGTATTGACCACCTAACAATTGCTACAAGACCCGTGGCCCTCTCAACTAAAATCGCCTTTAGTATAAAGCCAACACGTTCACCATCCTCAACTCCTTTACGAAGCTGCAGGGCCACAGTAACAATCAATATAGCCACCTCAATGAGACTCCCTATCTTTCCAATGCTTTTCATGACCACGCATTAGACTACCTCTTCCCTTGTGGATTAATTAGTTGGCTAATTGATAGGTTAATTAAAACATGGCCATAACCAATTTAGGGTACTGGTGGGATGAAAAATATCATAAGTTAATAACAAAGCCCACCCCTCCTTCTCGGGCGTTCGTTTGCTATCTTGCTTTGGCCTGTTGGCCGATTTTTTTTTCCTCTTTTGTATTTTGAACTAGCTCTCAGGCTAGTTATCCAGCCCTAGCGGACCTCCTCCAGCAGCTCTCTCAATCGACCTAATGACCGAGCCCCTTTTTTTTTCGGACGGGGAAGACTGAGTTGAAACGGTCTCCGACTTTGGCTATTTTGCCAAGCAACGCGACATCTTTTTTTTCCTCGTTTATATATATATATATATATATATATATATATATATATATATATATATATATATATATATATATATATATATATATATATAAAAAGGTCTTTCCTTATCTTGCATGGCAATGACTCTTAATTTCCTTTTCCTAGTGGGATTCCACTCCCATCAAATATTTTCCATAACTGAAAATGATTCTCTTATTCAAGCTTCCCCCAACTCTATAAATAGAGACCTCCCCTTCTCATTCTTCACATCTTCACATACTTCAACATACTACATTCCAACAAGAGCTCTCAAATTCCACGTGGTCTTCACGCAAGCAAAGCAAGGTGAGAAAAAATTCTCTATCACCAATAATGGCCGCAGGCCACTCTTGTTTTTTTTTTATCATTAGCGTTTTTTTGGTGCTTCCAATGTTTGAATGAAACTCATATTTTGCTTGCTTGCACACGTCTCTACTCATGATGACATATGTACCCCTCTTGTCTTGTACGTGTACCCTTGTGTGCAAATTTCATGGCCATGGCTTGACCAGGCTAGTTCTGTAATCTGCTACTTTGCTCAACACATAGTCTTAGCCAATACTTGTAGTGGAACCGACGTGTTGTGCTCATTTCCAATTTCTTTGCTCATTACATGATGATTACCATATCCCACTACTAGGTCTGATGTACCTCGACTGACCATGCATGTTCATGCCATGTAGGATGTCTGATATCGAGAGAGAAAAAGAGAAGAAGGAGATCTCTAAAGCCACCCGAGAGTACCGCAAGCAACTCAGTGCATTGAAGGAAGAACCAGGCCTAAACTTCACGTACTTGTCTATAAAGGATGACAAGACGGGCAAGCTGGGTCCTTTCTTCTCCAATTTTAAGTCTCTGGAAGCCAAGAAACTTAACTTGTACCCACTAGGCGGTGGCCAATTGCTCTTCACGGGCGACCCAAAGCCGTTTCCTTTCTTCACACTCCATAAGTAGAAGAAATTGATGAGATCATGGCCCCAAAGAGACATGGACTACATCACTTGGTATCGAAGACTCAAGAAGGACAAAACCACCACCAACTTATGGGGTGATGATGGCCTATCTCGACTGTTACCCTTGACCACCCTGATGCCGGACCCTGATCCCCAACTCTTTCAAGCAACATTGTGCTTCTGGTCCACTGGCTCCAATTGTTTTGTCTTCCCCCTTGGTGCCATGAGCCCATGACCATCACCCTCATGGACGTGGTAACTCTCACTGGCTTAACTTCCTTGCCTGGCCCTCAGGAAGAACGTCCTCAAAGAGCCAATATTGCCCCGACTTCGTTTACAACACTTTATGAGAAATTTTGAAAACTCATTACCGAGCCTATCACCGACGAAGAACGTTCATGCTTCATCCATTACTGGCTCTACAAGTTTATCATATGCCGACACACCCCGGGGCCGCGCAAGACCCTGTCATACCTATCCCACCAGCTCGCTGAAGGTGACCCCATTGCTGACTTCCCGGACATGATCCTTGCCCGCCTCTACTATGGCATGCATTCTCTCATCACTCAAGTGACATCCGACACCAAGAATGTAACGGGCTTTGGACCTCTTTGGCTAGTACCTCTATGGCTTTATGCTTACTTCCCAATGCTATGCAAACCATTGCCATCGATAGACACGATGCCTGCCGCCACCATGCCAGCTTCATATGGTCACCACTACATACGAGCCGAACCATTGGGCAAAGAATTTGTCGAATACTTCACCATCTTCTACACGATGGACAAGCTGGAGACTTTCACCCCTTTCCTTTCACGTCAATTTGGGCCATCTTCCTTCACTATGATTTTTCAAGAGAAACCACCGAAAACCACTACGAACTGGTTAGTTTTCACATGCAAATGGAGGAGTTGGCTTCAAGCACGAGACATCTTTTTCAATCCTCCCAACCCCAAAGGTCACGCATATGCTGAGGTATACAACCCTCACTATGTTGCTCGTCAGTTCGGCCTTACCCAGATGTGGCCAATTTCTCTACCGTCATCCTGAAACTTCGAATCTCCCACCAAGCGAAGGCCTCTAACAACAGAGCAAGATGAGAAATATGTGTATTGGCAGGAAACATCCTCTCTTGATGTGAAGTTCGAGTTCTTCACGCTGGTCCATGATTCAACCTTGACCTTGTTTGGGTCGCTATTCCCCGAACAACTTCGTAAGCTAGACCTCTTCACTGGGGATCCTCA